CTTCTCCTCCTCCTCCTCCTCCTCCTCCTCCTCCTCCTCCTCCTCCTCCTCCTCCTCCTCCTCCTCATTCCTCCTCTGGGCACCTCCCCCGGGGCGCGGATCCACCGGATCTGTCCGGATCTGTCCGGAAACGGTGCCGGAGGCCGCTCTGGGCTCCTCTGGGCACCTCCCCCGGGGCCGGTTTTGTGAGGATGTCTCAAGCGAGGGCGCCGGTTTGGGATTCGTCACCGGATCCACCGGATCTGTCCGGAAACGGTGCCGGAGGCCGCTCTGGGCTCGTGCTCTTCGCTCCTCCTCCTCCTCCTCCTCCTCCTCCTCCTCCTCCTCCTCCTCCTCCTCCTCCTCCTCCTCCTCCTCCTCCTCCTCCTCCTCCTCCTCCTCCTCCTCTCGTGGCCCGAGTGAGAACGCAGGGCTGTAGCACAACAAATCGCAGGGGATGTTGGCCATAGCGCGTAGATCGCCTGAGTAGGCGCTCTGACGTTATACCCCCTTTACGCGGATGTCCTCCTCCTCCTCCTCCTCCCTCCTCCTCCTCCTCCTCCTCCTCCTCCTCCTCCTCCTCCTCCTCCTCCTCTCGTGGCCCGAGTGAGAACGCAGGGCTGTAGCACAACAAATCGCAGGGGATGTTGGCCATAGCGCGTAGATCGCCTGAGTAGGCGCTCTGACGTTATACCCCCTTTACGCGGATGTCCTCCTCCTCCTCCTCCTCCTCCTCCTCCTCCTCCTCCTCCTCCTCCTCTCCCTCCCCCTGCCCCTGTCGGCGGCGGAGCGGGCTCTGCCCCCGCCCCGTTAGAACCGAGCCGCTCGACCGCCCATGCAGCGGCCGACTGGGCCAAAACCGCCGAATGGGTTCAGAAGGGGGGCCAGGGGGGGGGGGGAACTTTCACAATGTCTCCCCAGACCAGAGATCCGATGAGGAGGAGGCAGGGGGGGGGGGCGAGGAGGAAGAGGAAGAGGAGGAGGAGGAGGAGGACCAGTGCAAACCCAAGAGCCAGCAACGATGTTGGAATTAACCCTCCCTCCAAGCTCCCTCTTCATAGGCCCCATACAACGGTTCATGTCCATCGAGGGAACTGCCCCGTTGGAAGACAACCGTTCGAAGACCTTGGAGCATGCCAAAATATGGTTCTCGGGATTTCAACGCCACGGATCAACCTGACTGCTGCGTCTTGACGATCTGGAATCGTGCCAGAACGCCATGTTTGGGACTTCGACACCGCGAATCAACATTACTGTTGCGTAGCATAACCCAGAATCCTTCCAAAACACAATTTCTGGTGCGCTGACCCTGGGAATCCGTTGACATTCCTTGCGCTATGCTATAACGAAGGTGCGCGGCGCTACGGCGAGAGCCACATTTTGAAAATGGGCCCCCCTGAATCGGCGAAGCTGTTGCAAATGTTTAAAACGAGTGCGCGTGGCGCTAATGCGAGAGCTTCATATTGAACACGACCTGCCCTCAATCCGTGAATCTCTTGCAATTTGTTAAAACGAATGGGCGCGGCGTTAAGGCGAGAGCCACATTTTGAAAACCACGAGCCCTCAATCCGCGAAGCTCTTGCAATTTATTTATTTATATATATATATATATATATATATATATATATATATATCGGAGTAGGGCCCCGGGCGGTGCCTGTCATCTCCATGGGGTGTGCAGGGCGCCCCCGGGAGCGTCCGAAGCGTCCCGGAGGGCCCCTGGGACCGCCAGGAACAGTTCGAGACCGCCCAAGACGGCCCGCGAGCGCTCCAAGACGCGCATAGATAGCCTCAGGAATGGCCAGGAAGGCCCGAAGACGTTCCAAGAGAGCTCCATGAGGCCCCGAAGGCATCCCAAGAGGCCTCCCCAGAGAGCCCCGACAAGCCAAAATCGTTGATTTGTATAGTTTTTCTCAAGGTTTTTGGCCTTCTCGCTTTTTCGGGGTTCCGACGCTCCAAGGCCGCCCAAGAGTCTCCCAAAACCGCTTCAAGACTGCCGAAGAGGCCCCCAAGACCGCCCCAAGACGGCCGAAGAGACCCCCGACATCGTCCCAAGACGGCCCAGGAGAGCCCCAAGATGGCCCAGGAGCCGCCCAAGACGGTTCCAGGAGTGCCCCGACAGGGCTTCAAGATTGCCTAAGCGAGCCCAGCGGTCCCCAAGAGGGCCCCGCGAGGCCCCAAGAGGCCCCAAAGAGGCCCCCAAGAGCCACCCCGAAGGCCCCCAGAAGCCCCCAAGAGGCCCAAAAATGGCCCTCAGCGCGCCCCAAGACGCCTCCAGGAGAGCCCCACAGGCCTCCGAGAGGCCCCCAAGAGGCCCACTGGAGGCCCTCAGAAGGTCGTCCCCGTCATGTTCCCGGAAGGCGGTCCGGGAACATGATTCCGCGCCTTGGAAGAGTATTCTGCGCTTTCCGAGGCACCTTCCGTGGCGCCTTGGACGACGTACTACGTTTATATAGATTGTCCTTCTCCTGTGTACACAATCCTACATGTCTTACGTATGGGCTATATATATATATGTGTGTATATATGTATATGTATATGTATGTATATATATATATGCACACACATATACATATATACATGTATCTATATATATAGATAGATGTACCCCTCCCCCAAGCCCTCCCGAGTCGTGCCACTTCCTTCCACGTATTTCAATTTCTTCCCCATATATAGAGGCCCCCAAGATGCCCAACAATGGCCCTGAGCGCGCCCCAAGACGCCTCCAGGAGAGCCCAACAGGCCTCCGAGAGGCCCCAAGAGGCCCACTGGAGGCCCTCAGAAGGTCGTCCCCATCATGTTCCCGGAAGGCGGTCCGGGAACATGATTCCGCGCCTTGGAGGAGTATTCTGCGCTTTCCGAGGCGCCTTCCGAGGCGCCTTGGACGACGTACCTATGTTTATATAGATTGTCCTTCTCCTGTGTACACAGTCCTACATGTCTTACGTGTGGGTCTATATATATAATGTGTATATATATATATATACATTATATATAATGTATATATACAGGCCTCCGAGAGGCCCCCAAGAGGCCCACTGGAGGCCCTCAGAAGCTCGTCCCCGTCATGTTCCCGGACGGCGGTCCGGGAACATGATTCTGCGCCTTGGAGGAGTATTCTGCACTTTCCGAGGCCCCTTCCGAGGCGCCTTGGACGACGTACTACGTTTCTATAGATTGTCCATCTCCTGTGTACACAATCCTACATGTCTTACGTATGGGTTTTTATATATATAAATATATATACGCACACACACCTATACATATATATATATATATATATATACATACATACATACATACATATATATACATATATATATATATATATATATATATGTACCCCTCCCCCAAGCCCTCCCGAGTCGTGCCACTTCCTTCCACGTATTTCAAATTCTTCCCCATATATAGAGGCCCCCAATATGCCCAAAAATGGCCCTGAGCGCGCCCCGAGACGCCTCCAGGAGAGCCCAACAGGCCTCCGAGAGGCCCCCAAGAGGCCCACTGGAGGCCCTCAGAAGTCGTCCCCATCATGTTCCCGGAAGGCGGTCCGGGAACATGATGAGGGTGGCGCTTCAGGGCCATCCATGACGTGACGCCCTTTCCAGTCACGAGCAGGAGGAGAAGGCGCAAGTAGTATAGCTCTCCAGCATTCGGCTTCACATCCGCTGGCCCCGCGCGAGTGGTTGGGGTTGAGGGGCGCACAGCGTAACGGCGTGCTTGTGTACATCGACGGCGCGCGGAGGAGGAGTGAGTCACTGAGAGCCACTACAAGCCACTAGGTGCCACAAAGCAGGACCTGGATAGGAGAAGATCTGATCACCGCAGAGTACACACAACATCCGACGAGCGGGCCTGCGACCCATAGCACACAAGCGTCATGGAGTCCGCCAATTGTCCGCCGACGGTGCCTCAAACGTGTACTAGAACCTAAGCGCGCGCGTAGCGCGCGCGTGGTTCTAGTATATATATACACATACATACATACATACATATATATATATATATAAATATAGGTATATAACGAATGTGCGCGGCGCGCAGGCGAGAGCTACATGTTGAAGAGCACCCGCCCTCAATCCGTGAAGCTCCTTGCACATGGTGAAAGCGAATGTGCGCGGCTATCAGGCGAGAGCCTCATTTTGAAAACGACCCGCCCTCAATCCGTGAAGCTCTTGCAACTGCTTACAACGAGTGTGCGTGGCGCTAAGGCGAGAGCCACATTTCGAAAACGACCCGGCCTCCATCTGTGAAGTTGTTGTCACTGTTTAAGCTTCAGGGTCATAGATGGTGAAGAAGTCTCAGGCGAAACGCCCGGCCCCCATAAAATCTGGCCTCGGGGAACGGGAGGTAGAAGTTATCTATGAGGAGAAGGAATGAAGGAGGAGGACGAGGACGAGGAAGTGGAGGAGGAGGAGGAGGATGGGAGAGGAGGCGGGGGAGGGGGAGGGGGAGGAGGACAAGGAGGAGGGAGGAGAGAGGGAAGGAGGAGGAAGAGGAGGAGGAGGAGGAGGAAAGGGCCAGTGCAAACCCAAGACACGCCAACGATGTTGCGCTAAACCCTCCCTCCAAGTTCCCTCGTCGTACACCCCATGCTAGGGTTGCCTCCACGGAGGGACGTCCCACTATTGGAAGACAATCGTTTGAACATACTGAACCGTGCCAAACGCCGTTCCTGGGCCTGCAACGCCGCGAATCAACGTCACCGCTGTGTCCTGGCGGCCCTGAATCATGCCAAAAACGCCTTGCCTGGGACTCCAACACCTCGAATCAGCGTGATTGTTGCGCGCTGACAAACCCACCTCGCGCCAAAACACCATTTCTGGGGCGTGAACCACAAGAACCCCTGAAACTACAACTCAAGCATTCTGAAGACGAATGCGTGCGGCGGTAAGGCGAGAGCCACATTGTGAAGAAGGAGCCGCCCTCCACCCGTGAAACTCACCTTTAAGACGAATGTGCACGGCGCTAGGGCGAGAGGAGGAGGAGGAGGAGGAGGAGGAGGAGGAGGTCGCCGGGAGGAAGCCGCGCTGCATCGCCGAGCTCGAACAGCGGGCGACGTCGCAGCGCTGCCCCGCCCCGGCGCGGCGCGGCTCCGGGCCGCCGCCGGCTCCTCGGCGACGCGCCGCCCGCCGCTCTCGGGGGGGCTCTCAAGTTTGGGCGCTCGAAATGGGTGCGGAAAGAACGGGTACAGTGCCCAACAGCAGTTCCTGTTCATTCTGAGCAGGGCTCGCTGTCCACGCCGCCGCGGCCTGCGTCCATTCGAGACGGGAGGCCGCCTGCCCAGCAGCGGCCGCTGTCGGTCTAAGACCACGTTTGTTGTTGGGCATTGTGCCCATTCTTTCCGTACCCATTCCGGGCGCCCAAATCAAGGGGCAGCAGGAGGGGGGAGGCCGGGAGGAGCAGTTCGGATTGGGGCCAGGGTGAGGATACGTTCGATTTGACGTGCACATTGTCTATTTCTAATGATTCGGAAGTTCTTTGGATTTTTGGGGCCAAATTCCTTTCGTTTCTAGTTGTTCTATCCTGGGCCTCTTCCTGGCCACTAGGGGGCCAGGAACAATTAGAAACGAGCACAATTAGAAATGAGCACGATTAGAAATGAACGACGTGTAAGAGTGACCCTTCGCCTGAGTGACCTTTGGTGCGCGCCCACTAGGGTTCCCCAATCGCCGCGTGCGGTTCGAAAGTAGCGTCGTGCGCGCGCGTGTTTGGTCCCCCCGCGGCCCCCCAAGAAAGTTCACTCTTACCCAGGGTCACTCTTGCGTATAACAGATACGCCCGTCCTAAAGCGTTCCGGAACGCCCGCAGAGCATTCCAGAACGCTCCGAGCAGGCCGCGGCGCCCGAGACATCCTCCAGAACCGCCGGATCTCAGAGACTCTCGATTTATCTTCGCCCGATGTTTGTCCTCGTCCTGGCTTCGTCGTAATGATGAACAGTCGGGTCAGACGGAAGGGGGGATGGGAGGGGGTTGCATACGACATCTGATGTGTTGCATGCGGCTGGTTTCAGCCCCGCCGCCGGGCGCATTCCTCAAAAAGGCGGCGCCTCCAGTGCCTGGGGGCGACAGCGAAGACCAGCTACGTGAGCTGATGAGCTCAGTCAGCGAGGAGGGGCCGGAGAGGGAAAAATGGAAGGAGGCAGATGCAGTCCTCCTCGCCCCTCCTCCTCCTCTCCTTCACCCTCCTCCTCATCCTCCTCCACAATAAAAGATATGAGTACTACTCTCCTCTCTCCCCTGGTGGCGTCCAGGAAATGTTCGCCCCCATCCGCGTATTTGTTTTCTACATTGGATTTCCGGGAAATGGGTTTTCGTTTTGGCTGTTTTTCAAAATGCTGCTCTCACTAGGGATGGCCTCATTTTCGGGCTACCGCTCGTTCCGAAACGTGCTCCCGCTGCAGCGCTGGCCGGATTTTTATGCTTCCGCTCGTTCCGAATCGTGTTCCCGCTGCAGCGCTGGCGTCATCATTTCCAGCGCCATGCCACGGCATGGTTCCTGGTCCTTCCAAATGGCACCAATAATCTAGAGCATGGCCCCCCGAAACAACCATCGGAAGTGATTACCCATTCGGTGTCGATTCGTTAATTTCTGGGGCCGCAGAAGCCCCCCTGGGGCGTCACCACGCCATGCTATGTCAGGCTACGCGTCCTCATTTCCTCGCTTCAGCGCTTGTTTTTTTCAAAATGCTGCTCTCGCTGGAGCGCTGGCCTCATTTCGGGCTACCGCTCGTTCCGAATGGTGCTCTCGCTGCATCGCTGGCCTCATTTCTGCGCTTCCGCTCGTTCCGAATCGTGTTCCCGCTGCAGCGCTGGCGTCATCATTGCCAGTGCCATGCCACGGCATGGTTCCCTGCCCTTCCAAATAGGACCCAAAACCTAGAAAATTGCCTCCCGAGAATCCATCGGAAGTGATTACACATTCGGTATCGATTCGATGATTGATTGGGCCGCACAAGCCCCCCCCACTTTGGGGCGTCGCAACGCCATGCTACGTCATGTTACGCGTTAGTATCCAACACCATGTAATGCTATGCCTTGATGGTGCGACTAGAGAGGAGATCTACGCCATGGAAATGGATGGGAGGGAGGGGTAGGACGTCAGATATGACGCGAGCGCACCTACCTTGTCCCACCTCCTCCTTCCCCTCCCCATCCCCCGAGGAGTGGGTAGGAGAGGATGAGGAGCAAGCAGGGGGGAGGAGAAGGAGGAGGAGGAGGTGAAGGAGGAGGAGGAGGTGAAGAGGGTGAAGGAGAGGAGGAAGAGGTGGAGGAGGAGAGAGAGGAGGAGGAGGAGGAGGAGGAGGAGGAGGCGAAGGAGGAGGAGAAGGAAACGAAGAAGAAGAAGGAAGAGGAGGAGGAGGAGGAGGAGGAGCAGCAACCACATGACCACCTGGGCGAATGTGGCCTTAGCCCCGTGCCTGCGCAACCGTTGCTTCACCAGTGCCACCCACCTCCCCCTCGCCCCCCTACACTTCCAATATGAGGCCTCCCCCGTCTCGCCTTCCCTCCTCCTCTTGACTGTCAGTCGGTTTTATGTGTCCCCATTTCTACCGGATACAGATACCCGCCGGTGACCCCTGGAGCGGTGCTCCAGGGGTAACCTTACATTAGTTTGATCAACTCCCCCAGGGCCGAGCGGCCCTGGAGGGGGAGGGCGGCGTCGGTAAGACTCTGTCGCCGTCAGCGCATCAGCGCACCAGGAGGAGGAGGAGGAGAAGAAGAAGAATAAGAAGAAGAAGAAGAGAAGGAGGAGAAGGAGGGGGGGGAAGGAGGAGGAGGAGAAGGACCATCGAGGCAAAATGTTCGAGGACAGAGTATGTTGCTTCAGCGTTGTTTACGTCTGAAGCCCCGTCCTTCGGCCCTCGGGAACAGATCCGGTTGTGGGAAACTTGCCCCAGGTGGGCCTCCCGGCGCGCACTTGTGGCCAAGGCTGGATGTCCGCTGAGATTCTGATAGGAACGCGCCCTGGATCCCTCGACTCCAGCATGTTGAGATACGTGTGGGCCTCTCTTCGGGGCTCTTGGAACGCCCTCGTGGCCACGGCGGGATTCTCCTCGAAGTGCCGGCCGCAGCGCACCTCAGGAGGCAGCCGGACTTCCCCCGGCAACCCCTCTCCGTGAGGGCATCACGGCGGCCGAAGGGTGCTCTGCAGTTACCGCCTCGGGGGGGCCGTTGCCGCCGTTACCAGGCCCGGGCGCCATGAGCAGTACGATTCAGGAGGTTCGTGCGCTCGGAGCGGCTGGAAGGCAGTGTAAGCACCCGTGGCCAAAAGTAGAAGTATGTATCCGGAGTTGGCTCACGTCCCACGCGTGCAAACGTTGCGAGTCGACGGTTCGCTTTTTCATGTTTCGCTCAACGATGGGACTACTTCTGCCACAGAGCGTCGCAATGTTCTTGCTCATGCGCCATGGGTGTAAGCCTACTTCGGGAGGTATGTGAACACAGATCGAGGTAAGCTCTTATTCACGCCGCCGAGGTGGTTCTTGACGCTTCGCATATCCTCACCAGCCCTTCAGCAACGATTTCTAGGCGAGCTGCCTCATACAGTGGGAGGGCAGCCACCCTATCACTTACACGCTCCAGGTTTGTACATTCTCTGGCAAATTTGAGGACTTGACTTTGCCCAGAGGCACCGCAGAGGCCCCTCTGGTCGACTCCTGAGTTTGTCATCTCAGCGGAGAGGCCTGGAGAAATCATGAGTCAATCATGCGGCGAGGAGGGCGTTGGTTAAGGAATGTGGCCAGGAGGGTTCAGACCCAGGAGGCTTCGTTATCTGATGAGGGCGGCTTTGATTTCCATGGCCAAACCTCAATTGGTGTTCCGACGGATTTCAGACCATGGGGTGGTTCTTTACCCCTTTCCCTCACCGTAAGTACCTTTGCTCCTCGAGGCCATCTTGCAGCACTCTTGGAACGTCTTTGGATGCCGTTGGGACTCTCTGGGCGCCCTCGCGAGCCATCCTGGGCGGATCAAGGAGACCATCGCTGAACAAAAGGGAGCATCCTAAACGAAGCCCACCCCCCATCCGGAGCCAAGGTAGTCCTGTGTTGGGGCTCATTTGGGGTGCCCTTGGGGGCCTTAGAGGGCGTCGTGTAGCCCCTCTGCGCTTTGGGGCCCGGTTGGGGCCTCTCTGGCGCGAACGTGGGCTATTCGTGAGGCGCCTCAAGGTGTAAAAAACGATCATGTGTGCATCTTGATATAGCGCTAAATTTTTCGATGGCTCGGACTGATTGAGGGCATCGTCGGGAGGCTCCGTGGCCACTCAGAGCCGAATTGGTGGCATAGAACGGCCTCTTTGAGGCATGTTGGACATCATGCCGATTCAACTCGTGGGCGATCCTGAGCAATCTCGGACGCCACCATCGGGTGGATGGAGCCTGTTTGGAGCCGTCTTGAGCGCAAGTAGACTCTCTGACGGCTCGGTGCCCCTCTCCCCTCCAGAATCAGGCAAAAGGGCTAGGGGAAGGTGCCAAGCTACACTCCGAAGGACGGGCCGCCTCGCCCACTCCCACCCGCCCTCCACCACATGAGTATCACCCGAGTCTCAGTATTGGAGATGGTTGTCAGTGGATGGACAGCCAGAGGGATTCAAAAGAGACGCCAGATGCCCGACCCTCGCGAGTTGCGCCGCGCGTGCCAGGTGCGCCGCCCGCATCAGTTGCGAGAGGCGCCAGGGGACCCCAGCGTGCCAGGCGCGCCTGGTGCGCCAGATGCGCCGCGGGCTCCACATCTGCCATGTGCGCCACGTGCTCCACGCGCGCCAGGTTCGCCCCGTGCGCGGCGCGTGCAGGGTGTGCCAGGTGCGCCAGTGCACGTGGCAGCACGCATCGCAAGAAACATCCCAAACCCCCACTCCCTGTGCCAACAGCAGACGCGGAGTGGCGGTGGGGAGGTCGGCACGGTGCATGATGCGCGGATCCAGAACCACCTGGCACGCGTGGTTGACGTGTGGTGGCGGGCCCTCGCACACCAGACGATATGCGCACGCACCCCGTGACCCCTGCCAAAATAGCAGTGCCAAGTCATCGCGGGGCGCCCGCGCAGGGCCCAGCAGTTTTGCCGCAGCGTGCTCGCCGCATGTTGTCTGCTGCAGGCACGGTGGGCCTGCGCACGCGGGGCAAGACCATGCCCCCGCCCCCGCCTCCCGCCGCCTCTGCCAGCAGGACATGCGAAGTGATTGTTTCGGGGCGCCCGGACATGGTGCGGATGTTGCCTCGCAGTGCCTGTCGTATAGTTTCTGGCAGGGGCGGCAGCGGTAAAACAGGGCTAGGATCGGGATAAATCGCTCCAGAGCGTTCCGGAGCGCTCTCAGAGCGTTCCGGAACGCTCTGGAGCGGCCGCGGCGCCCAACACATCCTCCAAACTTGCCGATTCTCAAAGATTTCGAGTTATCCCGATCCGATTTTGTCCCGATCTTCGCGTCGTTTCATGGTGTACGGCACTGGCCCTGGTTCGTCGCCAGTGTCGCGTGGAGGAGGGGGCGTGTATTGCTCAGGAGCAGTAACGCGCCCGCCCCCGAAGGGGAGTCATGGGCTTCGGAAGAAAGCGCTGGCTTCCTGAACTGGCTATGCCCAGAGGGCTGGTGGCATGTCCTTCTCTTGCTCAGCGGTACTCTGGACTCTAGCCGGGTGTTGCTAGAAGTGTCCCTGACCCAAGGTGCCCCCAGCTTGTCGCTTCATTTTGGACCCCCTGGGGCCCTCTGGGCCTCGTGAGGGTGCCCTGGAGGCCGTCTGGGCCACCCCGAGAATCCTGGGGGGACCTTGGGCCAGGGGTACTTCTAGCAACACCCGATCTAGAGCCGAGGCCCTCTATTCTTGCTTCGCCGTTCGCCCACGCCCCCCCGGCCTCGACCTCCCGCTGGCGCGCAACGTCGCCTCCCCCCACAGCACCGCCTTGCACCGCACCAGGGCCATCTGTTCGAGCACAGGCAGGCCCGAAGAGGCCACAAGGCTGCGCCATGAGAGCTCCAAGAGGGCATCACGAAGGCCCGAGATGGCCCAAGGAAAGCCCCAGGAAGACTCAGGGAGACGATCTACCCTCCTCCCCCTCCTCCTCCTCCTCCTGTCCCTCGCAGCCCTCTCGTGCAAGAGCCAGGGTACGCGTGCCACGTGGTTCGCATGGCAGAGTCAGCCATGACGCAGTGGGTTGGGACATTTGCACCACCGGCTAACAGGGTAGATAGCACGATGATCGACATCAAGCTGAGGATATGAGAGAGGCTGATTGATGGGGGGAGTTTGTGTTCGCTCATTCGGATTGCGCAGAGTTGCGTCTACGCCAGCCCAACCTCGAACCTTCACACTTCTCATCCTGTCACAGCTCTCAAGAATTACAGTATAGATCGCCCTCGTGCCACAACTCGCCACTGATTTACCGCGGTTGCTGTCTGCCTCGGCAGGATTCCTTTGTCAATCGGAGCTGGCTTGATGTGAACTGAACCCGACGAGTAGGCTGATGCCGTAATTTCACGACTTAGTGCGGCTTCTTGCCTTTTGATGTTTCACATTCGTAGCAGCATGCGCTTTGAAGGCAGGCAGGACGTGAAGCGCACGTGGAGACACTGCACGCGCAAGGTGGCCACTTGAATGCGTCGTGCTGCATACTTCTTGGATGAGAGGTTCGAGTCTTGATGTGTTGGCTCCGTGCCCAAAGAGATAAAACAGGTATAGCACGTGTGTCTGAGGTCTGGCATACGTGGACATGACATGTAGCCTCGGACATGTCGTGGATAAGAGCGTGATTGTTGGGTTGATACGAGAACGGGTAGAAGCAAGGTCACGACGTCGAGCAAAACGCCAATCTTAATTCTGCATACATCGCATATTTCAGTAAGCAGCGCGAGTGGTCTGGCGATCGTTGGTCCTGCTCTGTCTCCCGCACATACTTCGATCTCCTACACACTTGCGAGTGTGTAGACGTCGGCCGGCGCTCTGCCCGGCACCGCACTTGCCCGCAGGGCTTCAGCCGCACCCGGCGAGCGCTGCTTCGAAAGTGCAGTTCTCCCACTCCGCGGGTCGTGCATGTCGGGTGTGCCCGTGATGTTGGCAGACGCGATGATTCCCACCTGGCTCGGGTCGGGCGAAAGGAGGGGGTGGGGAAAGGGGGGGGGGTACGAAATCTGCCGCACGCAGCTGGTTTCGGCCCGACCGAGGGGCCCATTCCTCGACACATGGGCGCCTCCCGGCGCCGGGAGGCGCCGGGAAAATCAGCTACGTGAGCTGATTCTCAAACCCCCCCTTTGCTATCCCCCCCTTTCGCCCGACCCGACTGGCAGGATGGGTTTGCCAGATCTCAAAAGAAGAGCTCCCCACCCGCCTTCGCACGCGCTGCAGGCCGCGGCCGCCAGGCCCCCGGGGTTCCCACTGCTCCCTGAGTACACTCCAGGCGATGCTTAAGAAAACCCAAGTTTTCGGCCAGAGTCTCGATTATTCTTAATGTTTCAATGTAAACCCTAACATTTGAATAGACATTCTGGGTTTGATTTCAAATTCTGAGACTATGAATTTCTTAGCCCATGATTTCTAAAGCATGTCGCAGGGTGTATCCCGCCTCGCGTCTTCGATGAACGACGCCTGCGTCTCGCGGCCGCTGGGCGCCACAGGGGCCCAGTGCTTTGAGGATCCCGCCTCGGGTTCTCGGGCGGGCATCGCTCCAGGTAGCATCTGCATGTCAGCAAGGCCATTTTCCGAGAGCAGTCTCGAGGGCCTCACGGGAGAGCGTGTTGAGTTGCCAGCACGCCGTATCCCGAGTTCGCCCCAGAAGTGCCTTTTGTTGGGACGCAGTGGGAAGATGGCACGGGGTGCAGAAGTGGAACTGACGGGTCGTTGTTCCAGAGAGGTTGGGAGAAAGTTTAGTTCGAAATGGCTTCAGGGGGGGATGGAGAGAATAGGAGGAGAGGAAAGGGGAAAGGATTGAGAAAGCGCAAACATGGATGGAGGCGCGTGGATGAAGGAGGCAGGAGGATGCAACAAACGATTTGCGAGTTGGAAGGAGGCGGACGGGAGAAGTGGGCAGGGAGCGGCGAGGAGGGGGGAGCCAACTTGACCTCGCAGCCGCAGGGGGCTCGAACTCACCCGGAATCCCCTTCGCGGCAGCTGGACATCCATCCGGTAGCGTTTCATGAAGGTTGTGGTCGGCTCGTCGGCGCGGTGATGTCGGTGGGCAATTGCGGGGATCTGCGGCACAGGGGAGATGCTTCGAACAGCGTTGGGCATTGGACGCGCCCGTCCTGTGGCAAGGCATTTCGAAGAAGAAAGCAATTACATCGGAGGTGAAAGGGTGAGATCGAAGTGGAACGGAGAGCCCCCCTACCGGGAAATCGATTTCGGTTTCGTGTTCGTGCGTGCCGTGCGTGCGGGCGAGGCGAAGCTGCGTGGGCGGGCGAGAGAAAGTCTCCTGTGGCTGAGGCGCGGCCGGACCAAATGTGTCTCTTCCGGGCGGCCGGTGGCGCGCGGTGTCCCGCCGTTGTCCTGCTGGTGTCCGGTCGGTGTCCCTGTGGCTGAGGCGCGGCCGGACCAAATGTGCCTCTTCCGGGCGGCCGGTGGCGCGCGGTGTCCCGCCGGTGTCCCGTCGGTGTCCCGTCGGCGTCCCGATAGTGATGGTCCCCGATGATTATGATGATGATGGTGATGATGATGATGATGGTGATGATGATGATGATGTTGATGATGGCGATGATGATGATGATGATGATGATGATGATGATGATGATGATGATGATGATGATGATGATGATGATATTGATGATGATGATGATGATGATGATGACGTCGATTGTGAGATCGATTGTGAGATCGATAGTGAGATCGACAGTGAGACCGAATGTGAGACCGAATGTGAGATCGATTGTGAGATCGATTGTGAGATCGATAGTGAGATCGATAGCGAGATCGATAGTGATATCGATAGTGAGATCGAATGTGAGATCGATTGTGAGATCGATATGTTAATGATGGCAATGATGATGATGATGATGATGATGATGATGATGATGATGATGATGATGATGATGACGATGATGATGATGATGATGATGATGATGATGATGATGATGATGTTGTTGATGTTGATGTTGATGATGATGTTGACGTCGATTGTGAGATCGATTGTGAGATCGATAGTGAGATCGACAGTGAGACCGAATGTGAGACCGAATGTGAGATCGATTGTGAGATCGATTGTGAGATCGATTGTGAGATCGATAGCGAGATCGATAGTGATATCGATAGTGAGATCGAATGTGAGATCGATTGTGAGATCGATAGCGAGATCGATTGAGTGAGACGTTGGGCCCCCCTCCCCCCTCACCTCCTTATCACCCGCAGGGTGGTCGTATAGGTACGCATAATCTTTCAGAGCTCCTCGTGGATTTCTTGTATCGGCGCTTGAGCCCCCTTGGCGCCTCTAGAGCCGTCCATGGCGCGTACCGCGCGCCAGGGAGAGGAGTTCAGCGCTGATCCCAAGGAATCCGGGCAGAGATCCGGAAGTTTATGTTTAATGTATGCAGTTCGTTCTTCCTCTTAGCATTGGAAACCAAACTGCAGTTCACACAGGCGTCATGGAGCATGTCAAAGCTGGGGACCTCGTCCCCAGGTCTGAACGTAATCTCTCGAGCCGGGCCGATTCGCGAGGGGGACGAAACCCTAGCGGGCACGCCAGGCATGCAGGGAGAGGGTCGAGGAGAAGGACGAAGAGAGGGAGGAGGGGTGAGGAGGAGGAGGAGGAGCAGGAAGGGGGGAAAAGCAGGTGGGAGGAGGAGGAGGAGGAGGAGGAGGAGGAGGAAGAGAAAAATGGAGGAAGGAGGGGTGACTAAAGATGGGAAAGGAAGGGAGAAGGAGGAGCAGGAGGACGATGAAGACAAGGATGGAGGGAGGGAGGAGAAGTAGCAGGAGGAGGAGGAGGAGGAGGAGAAGAAGAAGGAGGGGGGCCCTCGAGGTGCTTCAGCATGTTGGCCATACGTCTTACCTTCTTCTCTTTGCCTCTTGCCTTTTGTTCGCCCTCCCCCCGCAGGTCGCGCGGGGTGGGGCCCGAGGACATCGGCGCTGCGACGCGAACTCGCCCGCATCACCGAGTCACCGAGGGGGGGCCTCCCTGGCCCTCGGCCCCCAGGGGTGGCCCCCAGGGGGACGTTCCGCCCCCGTCTTGATCGGCTCCTGGCAGGTTGGTAGCGGGGCCGGACCCTGGGCGCAAGGGCTGGCCCTGGCTTCGTGCATCATCAGCCACGCGCAGAAGGGAGGTTATGGGGGACGGGGGAAGGCTTCTTGGAAGCACTTCTGATTCTTAGGAGGCGCGGGCCCTGTCTATAGATATAAGGCCGCCGCCCTCCAAGAGACAGCCTCCTTCTAAGAAGCCTTCCCCCCTCCCCCATACCTCCTTGTACGCGCCGCCGATTGCGGGCATTGGGAGACGGCCCACCCAGACAGGTCAATTAAGGAACTCCACTCCGGTTCAGTCAATCTTTAAATTCGCTATGTGCGGGGCGATCCATCGCTGAGAATTCGCAAGTCGGCGTGAGTTTTACCAGCTGGTACATTCGACAGCGCTTGGACGTCGATGGCTACAGTCCGCCCACAGAGCCCCCGAAAAGTGCGGTGCCGCGCGCCGCCGTCGGCAGCTCGTCCGCTCAGGGGCATCTGTTGTTGTGGGGAGCTGTGTGTCGATCCTCGATGGCTCCGAAAAGCAGTGGGTCACGATAAAGATGCGTGTCGGGATTTCCAGAGTTCCCCAGATTCCCAAGATCCCCTGGTGTCCCGCACGGGCTCCACAAGCGAAGGCCACCAGATATGGTGGAAGTCCCGGAACGTGTCCTGAGCTCGTCCTAACATCTTGCTCGTGCCAGGTCGTCCGGTAGGTATAGCGGAAGCCCTATCTCGTCATGACATCGTGCTCGTCCTAATGGTGGGCCATATCTGCCCAGCGACGAGCAGAGCAGACCGGATCCTGCAGCGCGAACGGGAGGGTACGATAGGTTCGGGTCGTCTCGACGCGGTGGCGATTCCGCCGCGGGCTTTCAAGGTTGAGCAGCGAGAGTGCTTGGGAATCGGTCGACATCGAACGAGCGGCGCCACTGGAAAGCCGCGACCGTCCAAGGCTGGACAATCCACGCAGTGTCAGAAGCCAAGGGCACGAGTCGTCACGACACGAACTTGACGTCGGCGAAGACCCTCCCTCCGCTGCCACGGCGGCAACAGGTCCTAGCGGAAGCGTGTCGTGGACCCCACGGTGCCTTCGTCCGGGACGAGCAGCTCTTCGTTCGGAGCTGGTTGCTGGACGGTCCTGGAGTTACATTGAGCTTGTCCCTCTACAGGAGGAATATTCAAAAACAGTCTCAGATACAAGGCTGGGGACTATTTTTAGAATATGTTTTGGCTATTTGGGAATATATGTTTGGAGTACTTTTTGGTTTTCGTCGAAAATCCCCCTGTAGGGGAAC